CTGCTGCAGGACGGCTCAGAAGGCAGCTTACCGTAAAGTCTCGAGATGGGGATCAAATCTGCGCGGCGGACTGGTGACCAGATGCACCTGCCTCAAATCATGTACAATTAAGTACAGAAGTGTAGCGTGAGTACATAAAAATATGTACCCAGTAAGTATCTAGTCTAACCTCGAAGAAGTGGTGACGAGGGGTCCACTCCGACACTTATAAGGGCCAACAATATAATAATATGAAATTTCCAGTTAAGCATGATATATAGAGATAACAATAAAGCTCAGAACAAGAAATAACTGAACAATTCTTTCATCATATTTATGAACCGAAAAAACTTCCTTCATTTAAAACAAATGATCTCTCCAACAACGAATTTATACAAGTTATAAAAGAAGGGTTTCCAGTTCTATTATCACACACAAATTCCATCGAGGACGTTCGGCCCGATCCAGCATAAATATAAAATGTGCACTGCCGAGAGGCGAAAGGCGAACCATAGATGCATCTATTACCCCGCTCGCGAATCATACATACGATGCGGTCAAATGTAAATTAATTACCCCACTCACGGATCATACTTGTGACACGGTCACATGTAGAATTCTTAAGTTATTATAGTATTCTTCCATTCTTTTCAAAATACGAAGTTCAAATGAAAACTTTTAAGATCCCAACTTTTCCTCAATTTCAACTCCTTTCAAAATATTTACTAAGAAAACTCAATCTCTCTCCCTCTCAAGGAAAATAATAAACATAAATCAATAACAATATCAACAAGGCATGATGTAAGTCTAAAACTACCCAGACATAAACAGGAATAGTAGCTACGTACGGACTCTCGTCACCTCGTGCGTACGTATCCACCCACAAATAACAACACATTTTAATTAAGTTCACCTATGGGTAAATTCCTTCTTACAAGGTTAGAAAAGAGACTTACCTCATCTCAAAGCCTACTTCCACATTCAAGAATGCACTCAAACCCTCAAATCGGAGTCGAACAATCTAAAACTATTCAAATAGTGTATAAACTAATCAATACATGTTCAAAAGTTTATATTCTAACTATTTAAGTGATTACCCAACCCTAAATGTAAGGTTTCTAAAGTTCACCCCCATGCCCACGTGCCTAGATTCCGGAAATTTTTCAAGAAAGTTACCACCCATAACCTTAGGAACATAAATATATGAATTTCACTAAGTTTCATAATCATTTTCGTGGTAAAATTTCATTTTTATCAAAACCATAGGTTTTCACCTAAGCCCATAATTTCTACCAATTTACATGTTATAATGTACCGATAAACTATGTATGTAACTCACATTGTGTAGGAATTACTTACTTCAAAGTGTTAGGTGAAATCCCCTCTCAAAGAGCTCCAAGAATCGCCCCAAAATGAAATAAATGAACTCAAAAATGCCTAAGTCCCGTATTAAATTAAGTCCACTGCCTCCAGCAATTTCCACACCTGCGGTCATAGGGTCGCATCTGCGGCAAGACCTTCGCAGGTGCGCCTTTTCCTCACCTGGTCGGGCATCGCATCTCCGAACACAAAGAGCCACATCTGCGAGTGCTTTTCGCTCCTGCAACCACAGTGTTCGCACCTGCGGTCTCGCAGGTACGTAAATTCCTTCGCACCTACGGTGCCTGGGCTTCCTTCGCATTTCCACTTCTGCAGCTCATGGCAAGCATCTCAAAGCTTGCACCTGCAGCTGACCAAGCGCAGGTGCGGTTATGACAGATCTGGGGAGCTTCAGCTCTTGCTCCAGGTTTCTAACTTGGTCCGAGCCTCGTCCGAGTGACACTCAGGGCCCCCAGGGCCCCGCCCAAACATACCAATAAGTGTGGAACCATTAAAGGACTCCCTTGAACTCTCGGAACGCCCGAAACAACATTAAAACTAAGAATCGCACAACAAAACCAATTGAATCAAACTTAAGAACTTCAAGTTCTTCAATTTATTTCCAATACGCCAAAACTTACTTAAACTACTCGGAATGATACCATATTTTGCGTGCAAGTCTTAAATGACATTATGGAACTATTCCTGGTCTCGAAGTTCCATTTGGACCTTGATATCACCAAAACCCGCTCCAAGCCAAATTTAAAGAACTTCTAAAACCATCAAAGAACCAACTTTCACTAATAGACGCCAAAATGCTCCCAGGTCATCCAAAACCCGATCCGAACATACGCCCAAGTCCAAAATTATCATACGAACCTATTGGAACCGTCAAATCCCAATTCCGAGGTCGTTTACTCAAAATGTTGACCGAAGTCAAACTTGGCCTTTTAAGCCAACCTTAAGGAACCAAGTGTTCGGATTTCAACCCGAACTCTTTCAAATTCCAAACTAACCATCCCCGCAAGTCATAAATCAGTAAAAGCAAGTACGGGAAGTCTTATCTAGGGGAACGGGGTTCTACAAAGTAAAACAACTAGTCGGGTCGTTACATTCTCCACCTCTTAAACAAACGTTCGTCCTCGAACGGGTTTAGATTCATACGTGAAGTGCTCAATAAGTGTTGATATCTGCTCTGCATGTCCTCCTCGGACTCCCAGGTTCCCTCCTCAACTAGTTGGCCCCTCCACTGAACCTTTACCGCGGAAATCCTCTTCGATCTCAGCTGGCGATCATGTCTAGCAACAATGGCAACTGGCTCCTCCTCATAACCCAAGCTCTCATCTAGCTGAATAGTGCTGAAGTCTAACACATGTGACAAGTCGGCGTGATACCTCCGAAGCATAGACACATAAAAAATCAGGTGAACCCCTGATAGGCTGGGAGGTAAAGCAAGCTCATAAGCAACCTCCCCAACCCGCCTCAACACCTCAAATGGGCCTAAAAACCTTGGGCTCAGCTTGCCCTTCTTCCCAAATCTCATGATACCCTTCATCGGCGAGACTTTCAAGAGAACCTTCTCGCCTACCATAAATGATACATCACGTGCCTTCTGATCTGCGCAACTCTTTTGTCTGGACTGTGATGTGCGAAGTCGCTCCTGAATCAACTTTACCTTTTCCAAGGCATCCTTTACCAAATCAGTACCATATAACTTAGGCTCGGCGGGCTCAAACCATCCGATGGGAAAACGACATCGCCGACCATATAAAGCCTCAAATGGAGCCATCCCGATGCTGGACTGATAACTGTTGTTGGAAGCAAACTCGGTCAAAGGCAAGAACTGATCCCACTATCCCCAAAATTCAATCACACATGCCCTGAGCATGTCCTCCAGTATCTAAATTGTCCAATCTGACTGCCCGTCGATCTGTGGGTGAACGCAGTGCTGAGCTCTACATGGGTCCCCAACTCACTGGACTTTGAGAGCTTGTATTGAGGCGATAATTTGAGGAATTTTCAGAGGAAACAATTGGGTAAGGATTCCTAACTTGTTTTTGATTAATATACACTAATCTATCATTAATTTCATCATTTAATTAAGGTTTTGGGTTGAGATTTTTGGGGGAAAAGTTGGAATTTCTTCAATCGAATTTTAGGTTTTTGATAGAGGTTTTGGTATCGGATTTGAGTAATTTTGGTATGGGTGAACTCGTGGTTGAATGGGTGTTCGTATTTTGTGACTTTTACACGATTCCGAGACGTGGGCCCGGGTCAACTTTTTGGGGCAATTTTCTAATTTCTTGCTAAAGCCTTGATTTCATTAATTAAATTAGTTTCTTATAGTTATATTTATGGTATGTAATTACTTTTGGCTAGATTTGGGCCATTCGGAGTCGAAAAATCGTGGAAAGGGCATTCTTATTGACTGATTGAGCTTGGTTCGAGGTAAGTGGCTTTCGTAACCTTATGTTGGGGAAATTCCCTTAGGATTGGTACTGTTGTAACAATTTGTGATATATGAAAGCCGTGTGCGCGAGGTGACCAGTGCATACACAATTGAAAAACTCGGTTTTTACTAAATAGTAACCTGTTATATCTTGACTGAGTTATCCAGCATGTGTAGTTATCATGTTTAGCCTAATATTGTATGTCTACGTGTCATAAATGCCTATTTGAAATCTATGCAGCATGCTTAGTTGAATTCCTGCTCTTTCCTTGGTTTGTATTTAGTCTTAAATTGTAGGATTTCTTGTTGTTAACTGTTGTTTCCATCGGTTTCGAGCTGTATGTTTACTTTTGGGACTACGAGGTGGTACCTAGGGATATTCCCGTTGCATATTTACTTCTGGGACTACAAGGCGGTACCTCGGGAGATCCCTGTTGCATATTTACTTTTGAAAATACGAGGCGGTACCTCCGAAGCTCCCCTGTTGAGTATTTACTTTTGGGACTACGAGACGGTATCTCGGGAGTGCCCCTGTTGTTTACCCTATGTGTTGTGTTGTTACTTTCTGTAATTTCTTATTGTCAGATTCTCAGACTTTTCATCATATTACTATATCTTTTGCCTTAAATTATTATATACCGGTAGGGTCCAGACCTAACCTCGTCACTACTCTATCGAGGTTAGGCTTGGCGTTTACTGGGTACCGTTGTGGTGTACTCATGCTACTCTTCTGCACATGTTTTGTTAGCAGATCCAGGTACCTCCTACCAGCTCCGCTATTAGTTGAGAGTACTTGCTGCTACTATGGAGAGTTCAAGGTATATCTGCCGGCGTGCGCAGATCTCGGAGGTCCCCTCTATCCCTTTTATGTTGTTTCTCTTTATTTTTCCTAAACACTGATGTATAGAGACAGTTTGAACTTTTCCTTAGAGCTTGTGACTTATAACTACCGAGTCTTTGGGAGTTGCTTATACTCAGAATTGTTGGTTTTACTTGTATATGTCGAGTGACAATTTTCCAGCTTATATATATATATATATATATATATATATATATATATACTTGTTGTTGTTAAGGTTTAGCAATTATTTCCGTTGTTATTTCAGTTATTCCGTAACTGTTAGGCTTACCTATTCTCAGAGACTAGGTGCCATAACGGAATCTTATGGGCGGAGATTTGGGTAGTGACAAATAGCCTCTTAAAAGGAAAACATTATAAAATACATACTTTATTCGAAAGAATGTATAAACATTACAATAAATACACCCTTCAGCCCAAAAATTGTAAAAACAGAAGAACAAAAAAGCAAGATATTGAAAGTACTAGTACAAATCTATTGGACCAGCTATGGAACCATACTGGATATGAAATCCTTATAAAAAAGAGAGCTATGTTTCTACTATGAAGAAGCATTTTCTTAAAGCATTTTATAAGTTTCGTGCCAAAAGTACCGATCGTCTTGTTCGTTACCGGTTAAAGTGTAGGCCTTGAGATTTCCATCTATTTCTAGGCGAAGGTATGTGAAAGAAGTGTTGTATTTAGTAAACGCCATAACATGAGAACTTCTCGTTTTTGACTTGGCCAATCTGTAGTCCAACTTCAGTCTTTGATTTCCGCTGTTCAATTTTACTGATTCTAAGCTACTATTTCTGAGATCAAACCAAGCTAATTCCACGGCAAGCTTGGATCTGTTATAGATACCGAACAGTTTAGGTTTCACTACCAAGCTGTAAGGCCCGTTTGCATTCTTTTTCACAGAGGCCCGGCTCACGAGCTTATTCGGGCCTGACAAGAGGAGCGATTGGCCCACCAATAGCGTGTCAGTGGGATAATCGAAACTCTGCCAAATGAATTTTCCCTTAGAGTTATGAAGCACAAAGTTGCCATTTGGTAATATCTTGTAACCAGTGACACCCTTATTGGCTGTGTTTGTTTGCCAAGCAATTCGACCATCAGCATCTGCCAACACAAGATTTCCATCTGTTCCTAAAGCGAAGGTTGCATTTTCTTTGACAGGATTACCCCTATTAGCTTCCCATACCCAGCGCATGATAGAATTAGCAGGGACGCTGCCCATGCGCATAGCTAGTGTCCAGGCATTAGGGGTAGTGTTGTAAAAACACAACAAGAATGGATATGTGTAAATATCAAAAATACCACGGTAATTTGCTCCGTATTCGATATTAGAAGGTCCGAATTGGCCTTCATTGACGTATCTGAAGGTTTTGTCAACTCGGACTTGGGCAATTGAAGAAAATATGTGGCAGAAAAGAAAGAGAGAGACGAGAAGTGTAGTAGGCAATGAAGGAGACATATTTACTTTCTTCTTTTAGCTGTTTGATGATATGATCCTTCGCTTCTTGCTATCCGTATTTAAAGATGGATGGGGAAGGATAATTAATTAATTAGTGAATATTTTTCATCTGTTATGAAACAATAAAAGAAGAAGAATAGTATTGCAGAAAAAAGTAGGGAGAGAGAATTCTTATTGATTGTGGGATGAATTACAATGGAATAGAACCCTCTATTTATAGGGAGAGAGTGACTTAGCCACCAAGTAATAAACCCTAGAATCTCTCTAAATATAGACATTCGCCATAAATAAAATTCTATTTATAACACTCCCCCTTGAATGTCTATTCAACAGATAATGTGCCTCGTTAAAACCTTAACTAAAATAAAACCCAGTGGGAAAAAAATTCTAGTAAAGGAAAAAGAGTACACATATCTAACAAACGCCTTTTGGTTGCCTCGTTAAAAATCTTGCAAGGAAAACCCAGTGGGACAAAACCTTGAAAGGGAAAAAGAGTGCAACGCATATTAACTCCCCCTGATGAGAGCATCAATTCACATCCTTGAGCCTTCGCATCCCAATCTTGTGCACTAGCTTCTTGAAGGTTGACGTTGGCAAAGATTTGGTGAATAAATCCGCCATATTAACTCCAATGAATATGTTGCACCTCGGAAATCCTCGCTATCACATTATCATGCTTATAGTTATAGCAAGATACCTTTGTGCACAAATTGCACTTAGGATGTGGTCATTCGTGACCAAAAAAATTCTCCAAGAATTGCATATGCTATCAGCATTTTAAATCGTTCATGGATTGCCATATAACTATAGTCAATAAGCCCTATAAATAGAGTTTTGATTTACATCAAGTTTTCATGTCATGCCAGACATATAAGATACATAAAGGTGATAGCACACACCATTGGCTTTATACTTTTAAGTGTTTGAACTGCAGGTCCAAAACTACTTGTCTTTCATATGAGACCAAATTCTACTTGAATTGTTTCTCCAGACTTAAGATCTTCATATATATTTAGTGCTATAATCAATGTCGTTGACAAACATTTTATATCGGTTCCAACTTCCTTATTTTTCATAAAGACATAACATAGAGATCTCTTCATTCATATATTCAGGTACTTGAATCTCTCATGAGATTTAATGAAGTGTTATGTCATGTGATCTTCTAGATCACTTGCCTCCTTATTATGATCATTTTGATCATTTGCTCATCTTCTTTACCAAGAAGTTTATTTGAAATCGATTTGTTTATACGCCTTAAGCGTACCACAGACTTTGTCCTTCTAGGACTTAATAGGAGCATTTGCATTGAGAATATAGTTACTTTCTTTGGGTCAGCAAATGCGTCTGGCATGCTTTGCAATATATTGCAAATGAATTATCCTTTTATGAACTTCAAGTTCATATTATCTTATTCGAGGATCTAGATGTACAAATGATAATTCATTCCACGTAACTTTTTCTCAACTGTTTATCATGTCTCCCCCTCGTGTTAGAAAAACTAACTTGTTACCTCAACTTTGAGAACTCATCTTTGTGTGTTATGGTGTTAATCAAAATATATACCGCACATCAATAATAATGAGATAGAATTATTTGGTTCCTGACCCTGAAACCACTTGTGAGGGGAGAATATAATATACTTTCGTATATAACCTATATCAAACTGATATAGATAACTTTGTTCTCATAAGCAATAGTTTAGCTATTAAGTGGAGGCACTCAATAAATCATTTTGCTAAACCAACTGTGATGTAAACCAACTTATCAAGAAGAACTATCTTGAATAAAAAATCTGGAAATTATGCTCTATATTAAATTATTGAGCAAGTTACCTCGCAAACACCAGGTTGCGGGTCAATAATAATTGCACATGTAACCATCTCATAGATGCATCTTATGTGGTATACATGGCAAGTGAATGGGCCCATATTCACCTTTGATATTTCCAGCATTCATGGGACTCAATCCCAATTTTAGTTGGTCAATTAATTAATGAGAACAGGCAACATAAGAGAATTCGTAAAGAACTTTCTAGTTTTTTAATATTTACCTATGTGAATTCTCTTTTATTTTTGCACATCATACTTAAATTATCATGGCTAAACCAATTATGCCAACTGAATAATTTATCAATATTGATAAACTTCAGGTTTACACCATGACGTGTGCAATTATCAATAAACTCCAAGTTTATTATGATATGGGTTTTTATATTAATAAACATCCGCTTTAGTGTAGTATTCTTTTATTTGTGTTGTACAAACTGGAGATTAAAGCGGGTAGCTTTTCACATACATATTATCCCGCTACAAGTTGTAGTAATAGAAGATATTAAATCTTTCCTTTATTTATAGTCTCAATATAATCAACCGTTTTTGCGTATACTTTGGAAACTGAATAAGTTTCTTTGAGACTTACTACAACACAATACCTTATTGGTAATCAATTATGTTTCTCCAAAATAGTATAATTGGCTCTTGCAGAGTTCTCAATTAATTTTGTAGTACCACATATTCATCAACATCCATATGGTGAATATCTCTTTTAAAGAGAAAGTTATACCATTATGGTTATGGTCAAAATTATGTGCAAGATATGTTTCTTGCATTACCATTGTCTTTTTAATAATTACAATGTCAAAATATTTTGGCGTACAATAGGTACGTGACCAATGACCATTCATGCCATAATAATGGCATTATTTTCTTATATCATCTCAATCCTCCTTTTAGAGGTGAGTGCGGTATATTCACTACCACTAGCACGTTCATATTCTTTGAAGAATGAATATGTATTCATAAATCAGATGTTGTCACATTCACATCATGAATGGACCATAATCATCTATATGTGCTTTACAAAATCTCATGTCAAATCGATGACAAATATTTCACAGAGTGAAAGATTATTTTGAGAATCCTTATTGTTCTCATTACCACAAATGATGATGATTATAATTTCGTCTATTGCCACGTCCATATCCATTGATACAATCATAGTAATAATTTTATCTTCTTTCAGACTTATCACATACTGCTATCACATTCTCTTAAGGGAATGAGAATGGAGCAAATTCAATGGGACGGGTTTTCAATTCTTTGCCCACAATCATACATGAATTTGATCATGACGAGGCATAGAAATTTTACCACTTCAGATGGTTATAATTTCTTATAAACTCCATTAGAGTTATAATCAAACTTTGTTGTCTTTGCTTGTATTTAAAATCAAAGTATAGAATAAAAGAGAAAAATACGGTAAGATACTTACCTTAAATCCAGAATTTAATCATGAAGGAAGTTCATGGAATAATTGACAATCATTATGCTCAATCCCAAACCTTCTACTCAATTGGTTAGAGTCTCGTGCTGATAACGTGTTATGAAACAATAAAAGAAGAAGAATAGTATTGCAGAGAAAAGTAGGGAGAGAGAATTCTTATTGATTGTGGGATGAATTACAATGGAATAGAACACTCTATTTATAGGGAGAGAGTGACTTAGCCACCAAGTAATAAACCCTAGAATCTCTCTAAATATAGACATTCACCATAAATAAAATTCTATTTATAACATCATCATAATTTTCAAGATTTTTGCATGACCAGATATTGATAGACGTATATGATTATAAACGTAAGGCATGATAATAAACAAGTTGGCTGTCCATACGAAACCGGTCAATGTTGAGGTGCTGTCCGTACATTGGGTATGGAACCAAGTGGATATATGCATTACATGTGAACATCCAATCGAAGAAGAAAATAATTGTAGAAGAAATGTATCTACATCATAGTACTAAACATCCAGGAAATATAATTCATGCATAACTAATTTTTATGTTACAATTTTTTGCATTACTCCCTCTGGTCCATAATAAGTTACTACTTTTTAGCTTTTGTCACACCCCTTAAAAATACGAACTCCTTACTAAATTGTTACCTTGAAACATTGGGATATGTAAATAAGAGCAAATTTTAAAAAATAAAATTAATTCCTTCTTGATTATGTAAAAGAATACTTATTTTGGACCAAAATAAAAAAGGTCAAAAAGTCACTTATTATGGATCGTGTATTGGTCAAAATCTGACCGCTGTGGTCGACCCAACTGGGATCCCGCCCAAACGGCGGGATAGTGAAAGACGCATGATTTGCTCCAAACCACGTACTCACAGTACCCGCTAAGTCAAAGAACAATACTCAGGGAGCGACGAAAACGGACTTGGTATGAAGGTGCATTGACCCAAGAACATAGCAAGGACTCCATGACAATATATAGGGAGGGAACCTTCCTAGCAAGGGGGGCTTTTTCTCTTTTTCCTCTCCTCTATAATCTTCTTAGCAAAAAAAAGACAAAATAATTTTCCATACATGATGTAAACTGATTATCTCCATCGATTGGTGAGAGAAGAAATGAAAAATATCAATAAGATTGATCGCCCCTATTTTATCTTATTCATCATTTTCTGATTTGTTTATAGATCTGGAGTTTATTATGCTTGGCTAAGATTTACCTCTTCATCTTCATTAATTGATTTAATCAAAAAGGTTTCAATATCTTTTGGTCAAACAATTTGGCGTCGTCTGTGGGAATTTCTTAGTCAAAATTCCTAGTCTACTCCAGATCGAAACCCATAATCATCCACCGAAGAAAGTTGTAAGTAAACCTCACGCGCTAATCCAAAGCATGACGCTGCATAGAAGCAGAAATCACAACCAGTGTCCACGAAAAGCTTGCAAAAGAAAACGACACCAGTTGCGCAAATCCCGCAAGAGAATGGGCGCATCTTATGGGGTGACCCACGCACCGAATGATCCACGAACGAGATAAGGCAAACCCAACCCACGCAGAACCAGGGCATGTTTAAAAGAAAAAGAGAGGAAGAAAAGAAAGCTAAACGTGGGCGCCGAACCCACAGACCACCATTCCATCAACCACTTAAACATCAGGGAGAGCGAACAACACTATAAGACCACCCTCGTTCATCGAACCATCGGACCGAGGTAAAGAAAATCTCATCTTGGTTCACCTTCTGTTGTTCGCTTATATAGGAACACAAGCGTCGCATGGGCGAGCGAGCAGAGAAGC